CGACACAAACGGACAGCGCAGCACAACACATGAACAGCGGGGGGGCTTCCTAGACCTGAAGGGAGTTCAAGACCGGGCTTTGCCACTGTTAGTCTGCCACCCTCCTCCTCCTGCCAGTTATCTCCAGCACTTATACTCTTTCTTTGAGCTCCCGAACGGAGTGTCTGTCCTGGCATGGTCCTCGGGTTTCAACCATCCGCCGACCTGCCTGTGCTCTCTTGCTCGCTCTGTTCTCTACACAGTTCCCATTGCTCTGTCTCCATGTGGAGAGTATCCTGGCTCTTGGGCTTCTGTCTCCTGCTTGCAGTGGGAACCCTTTTCCAGCTGTTTAAGCCCCCCACCCCCAGGCACTAGGTCAGACCCTTGCTAGGTTAGACCCTCCTGGTCCTTCCAAACTGTAGTTGCTTTAAGGGCTTGTTTCATGGGCTCCATTCTCCCCTGCACCCATGCCCATGCCTCACGAGTTTTTACTAATGGTTTTGCCTTTTCTGGGTTTTGGCTTAGCCTTAGCAAACCGCAGCTATTGCCTCCCTGGCTCTAGTTGCTTGAGTTTTCAGACTCTGGGCTCTCCTGGCCTTGGTTTTGCCACTGTTCAACAGCAGGATATATTCTATTAAGAGCATTAGACAGCATAGCATTAAAGCAGCTGCAGCAAGCCTGCAACAATGCAAAAGTAGAAAAACTGCTCTAGCTTTCACCCTGCTTCATCCAGGGGTTCAAGTTGATTTCCCACCCCCGGATTGTTGCAGGCTGCATGCATAACCATTAGCATCAGGGATGGAGGTTGTAGCCATGTTCCTTCACAGGAAGTTTCGTTTCTCCCTGGGAGAAACTTTACAATCTTTGCATTCTCCTTTGCCTGAGGAAGGGTGTGAGCCCAAAAGCTTGCAAATAAATAAATAAATCTAAATTTGCCTTTAGAAATGTGGTTACTGTGGTGAAGGTCAACAACATGGGAGAGGTTGAGTCAAAATGTACCATCTTACAAATCCTTTTTGAAAAATTAAAAGTTGATACTTCATATTTATAAGACGGGGATATACATGTATCTATATATATATAGATAGATAGATATAGCTATATATTTAGTTGGTACAGGAAGAGTATTTTTAATCATAATGCAAAAATATTGTTACCAAGATCTGAAATATTGATGTTCCCTACCTAAAAGGAGGCTGGTAAACTTCAGAGGAAAGTGTCCATTGACTGAAGAATGTTATATAATGGGTCAAACTTTCACATGCTTCAGCATAGTCTCTGGTTTACTACCGACCATTAACTGTGAACAGGGGTACTCGCAGCTGCATTGCAGATTTGGTAGATCAGTTAGGGCACACGGTCTGTTAAGAATGTACATTTTAAAAACCAATTTGAATATTTGATATTATACCTACTGCTCGAAAGTGACGTGATGGGTTTTTCTTAGAAGGTTTCTAAAATGACAATGATAGTTCAGTGAAATCTAGATTTGCAATGCTAGGGTACATAAATTATGTACATTATTATTTCAAACTAAATTGGTAAAATCAAGTGAAACAAATTTTAAATATTTTCAGTCTTCTTCCAAATAAAAGTGTAGGGTCAGTATTATAAATCCATTTTCCATAGAGCATTATAATATAGTTCATGGTGCCATCTCAACAGGACTGACAGATTTCTTTCTGTAAATGACAATTTAAAGAAAAACTATTAAAAAAAATTGTGAAATCCAGTTTCATTTAGGGTACTCTAGTCCTTTTTCATAAAAGTATCTAAGTACATAAAGTCAAATTCTTGCTGTCTCCACCTTTCTCTAAGGGATGAAACATGAGTTTATATTATTATTTAGGGAAAAATACACTCTCAGTGATATAGTGCCACAAATGATTAACAGCACCGCTATTTGCATAATCTCTAAGGTTTGATCAGCACCCAGTCTTACATTACGGACTACGTTATTAAAAGAAAAATCCTTTAGAAGATGAAAAATGATTTTGCAATAAAAAACGCTTCATTTTAAATCAGTCTCTTCAATTTTCCTTTGATTTTCATACACCCTTTATTGTTATTCCATAATGATACAAGTAACCCGGAGAGCAGGAGCAGGAGAGTTTGGTCTCTCTTTCCCCTCTCACTTTTAGATTATACAGTCCTCTCATTCTCATTCCCATTTCTCCCTTTTCTTCATACTCTGATATTAGTGTCCCAATTACTAAGGCTATAAAGGAGCCAATTCTGGAAGTTTTCCAATGCATTGACGATTCTGCTGCAGCTAACGTGATTAGACTGGGAGATTGAAGCCTCCGAATCTTTAGCCTAACTTCTAGCACTGTATCATCATGCCAGAAACTCATTCTCTGCACATTGTTTTAATCAGACTTCCTTCAGGGGTATTTTTTCCCTTTTACTTTCTACTTTCCTTGGATCTTTTTTCCGATCAGTATATTAACATAAATCGACCAATGAGCCAGCGATTCTTGTAGTATAGCAAGTAATGAGAGGAATTACAAGGTCATTAATTTCTCAGTCTTTTTAGATGTCTGGGTTAGATTATGTTCAGTCCACTTACGCACAAGTATAGAAAATCATGGAGGGGAATGTTTCTTATAACTCATGGGAATTTAAACAAAGCAATTTCATGTTAAACAAGGAAGATTGCAGTGGGGCGTTACTACTTGAACAAAGATAAGAGCTTTGTTTGCATTGTTGTTTTCTGGGGGTTTTCCTAAGCTTTCTGGTTTTGTGTTTTGCATTCCCAAACATAAATTGAGCTTTACCTTTAGCAATATGAATTATACTAAAGCAGCATTGCAGGAGCCTTTAATATGATTAGTAGCCCTTGAAGGGGTGTTTAAAATTTGGTAGAAATCCCGACTGAAGTAAAAGACCAGCTCCCAAAAAATTGATGCTTCTCCAATGAACTTCAGGCAGAGTCATAATGCTTCTGAAAAGAGAATTGCGCTGCCCCTGCCTTCAGATTAAACCTGCTAAACAAATAATTAAAGAATGACTGACAGGGCAACTTTTTTATACCCAGAAGAATGCTATATTATTAAGAACAAGCACATTATATCTACAGAGAGGCTGGGGGAGAGCTTTTATGGTACTTTTAAAACTTGGATTGATAGGACTACACAGAAGCTTCTGTTGAGAAATTGGCTTTCCCCGTCCAAATCGTGGAGCAGATTTGACTCAGAATCAGAGTGCTGGTGTTTATATTATCCTTTTAATCTATCCTGTTTCTTAGCCTGTAGAAATCTGAGAAATAATTAATAGACTACTGTTTCAGGGAGGTTTGTTTTCTCCTAGAGATGGCAGATTTTTTTTTTTTCCTTTCCAACTGTCAAGGGGAATAAGAGAGAGTAAAATTAATTAACGACACGGACTTCTTTTAAAAGAAATTCGTAACAGCATCTCATAAAACATTTCATCTCTCTGGCAGTCCCACAGTTGTCATTTGTTTTGCATTTAGAGACGAGCTGGTTCTTCAAAGCCACGAGCTACATCTTCTAATTTCCAGTGGTTTCTATTCTGATTGTTTTAACAATGAAGTATGTTGCACAAATCTGAGACTGAATTATTTTTGTTTTACAGAGATTTCTTGGTTCAATTGGTGCCTCCCAGGGTCATGTTTGCTCAGTCTGCTCCTTATTCTGTGCTTCAGGGAATCCTACGATAGACTGTATCTTGATGTCGTCGTCTCAGTTTAAAAACACAGAACTGGTGGAGTTGTAGAAGGGACTGGGAATCCATGTTGCGTTCTGCACATTTGCTTGGAATTGCACAGCTGAACGGAGGAAAAGCTACAAAATGTTAAATACAGTTTTATTCAGTTTTGAAGATTATTTTTTTAAAATACCCTTTTGATTCTTATCACAAGCCAGATAACCGGTGTCAGACTTGGACGGGAATCAGAGCACCAGTGTCGGAACTGATATTTAATTTACAAGGCTGTACCTGTTGCTATTAACTGTGCAGATATTTGTGCCAATTCAAGGTTACATGAGGTATCTATAGGTACCAAGGCACCAGTAATCTTTCAGTCTTCTCTCCAAATAAGAATAGCTGATAATCTTTTCAAAACTCGATTTAACTTTTAAATTAGTAACTAATTTAATTGATAAACGCCCAGTAGTGGCAGAAGCTAAAATAACGTGGTGCTTATAAGCTACAGTTGTGTTTCGATAAAAGCCATTTCTGTAAGAAGATGCTGGTGTTTTGGTCTAACCATTTTGGATACTTTTAACAGACCTTGCACTGTTGTTGAAAAAGCTTAATTTTTGCCCCAGAGCCAGAGTGCAGTCAATGATTGCTGTAATAATAGCCAGACAATAGTTACCACTAAAGTCTAGTGTTAGCTGACAGTAGCATCTGTAATGCTGCAGTTGTTCTATCTGTTTAAAACAGGAAATAACTGTGGTATTTTGGAAGTTTGCAATATAGTCACTGTTGGTAAATGTTGATATTCTAATGGCCATCACTACTACCCTTTCATCTCCAACTAATACTGTCTTTCACCGTAAAACCCTATTTCTTGCCCCTCAGTACTGTAGGGGTACAGCTTCCAATTTTGGGAGTTCTTTGTTAAGCAAAGACTGCAGTCTTATAGTGCGTGCATGATTTTAAGATTAGTTTACAGTGTAAGGCTGTCTAAACAATAATGTTTTCAAATACCCAGTTCTATAAGTGATCATTTTTCTGAAGTTTTCTGGCTTTCTGACCTACCCTTGTTATCAGCAAAATGACAAATGATGTTGGGATATTCATGACTGAATTTAACACAACCTGGGAACTACAACACCAACTTTTTTTTATCAGTGCTAAACTTTGGCCATTGTGGCCCTTACTTGAACATAAATAGTGAAGGCACCTTTGAGTAGTTTTGTGACTGTTTCAAACCTGTTAGGAATTTCTGAATTTTATTCTTAGTTAGTTCAACATTATTTGCAGTACTTCCACTCTGAGCGTGCTCTGTTGCTTGTGTAATATTTGGGGGTGTGCTTGTGTGTGTGTGTATACACATTAATGTATATGCATAAACATGTATAACATATATTTATATAAGTTGTAGCATGTGTGTGCATATAGATTTATTTTAAAATAATGGTGGGTGCAGAGCCACTGTTTGTAACCAAAGCAGTCATTTTGGCAAATGAGGTTGCAAAAGCACACCCGCTGCAATGTGAATTTTATTACACTGAGTGAATGTTTTCTTAATGTGGCTATTTTATATAGAGTGTGTGTATGCATGTTTGAGGATGTTGGCATGTAATGTTCTGCTTCAGCGAGAAATCTAAATCAAACGCCCTCCGCTCCTGTGAGGGGCTCTGCTCCATCACTCTTGAGTAATACAGCCACCGTAACTCATAAAAATAAAACCTAATCAGTGCATTACCCTTCAGACATGTATCAGTTCGGTCTGCCTGCCTCTTTCTGCTGAGAGAATATTTCATTAATATTTTTTAGCTCAAAACTCTGCTCGTGCAGTAAAACAAAATAACTAATTTCACAGCATCTGCTTTTATCGTTTTCAGACAAACAGACATATATATATACCCTCGTAAGAAACAGGGTGCTAGGACTGGGTTTATTGGCTACATCAGATACTAAAAGAGCAGAATCCTTCCTTGAAAGGCACCGTTCGTAAACAATGGAGCCAGTTGGCATTGAGACGTTTTAAATAAACGAAGCCAGCACATTTGAACAACCAGAAGCCTATTTTTATCATCGTTTCAGGTTTTTGGTGCAAAGGCACACCCATCCAACTTTCTTGGCTTTGCTTCGCTGTTTGAAACAGTATCAGTACCCGGTAGCTCCTGTTACCCATTGTCTCATGCAAAGCTACAAAATACGTTCATGCCAAGAATTCTAGTTTACAGGTGCGATGCCAGGACAGAGTGGTAATTCTGGCTCAGTCCTTTTGAGACCTGCTTAGCAACCTGCTGCAGCTATGTTGGAATTAAACCTGCACATTTACAGGCACCTTGCTGAGAGGCAGAGATTCTCATTTTCTCTACCACCCGGATCATTGTCAGATGGAAAAACACTCCATGGCTTTGCTCCAAAATGCAAAGTTTCCATAGAACCAAATAGGCCAGTAAGATTCTACCAGAGCACTATACTTTACTGCTACAGATCCCATCCTGCAGCCCATATGCAGCCAAGTCTAAGGGAAATTTCTCCTAAGTAAAAACAAGATCAGTTCTTCACTATGTAAAGTTCCATGATTGGTAAGACTCCGCTGCTGTGATTCATTGAAATAAATGTTCAGGTTTGTGGACTTGGGGAGAAGGACATCTGGGGGGCAGGGACCAGGGAATAAAATATTTCAACTTAAAATATGCTTTCCGAGATGTTTAAAAGAGTTCGGTCGTTATCCGAACTAAAGCCATGGGGAGTTTTCCTGAATAAGATTATTTAATCATGTTGCCTGTTGTTTTATTTATTTATTTTACTTTTATATAGGTAAAAACTATTGTGGTGACTTGAGTTTACCAAAAGTGAGATTTTTCTTGCTGCAGTGAGAGAGCTTTGAACATTCCTGAAATGTTAATCTTCAGTAGTCCCAAGTCATATTCAGAAATGAAATATTTTTCCATTTTCTTATTGGCCAACAGCAAAGTGCAAGTGCAGTTCTTACCTCTGTAATTTTGGAGTAACGATGAACATGTTTTCTTGCCTGGTCAGGGCACAATCATGTATTGCTGTTGACTGATTAGAACCGAACACTTCCATACCAAAGTAAAATTGACTTCTCAATGGGAAAGTGCTTTGAGAAATGACAATACTCCCTTCCTATTTTAGCTCAGAGTCACTTTTCATGCTAAAAGCCAGAAGAGCAATTTTGCAAAGCCACTAAAAGAGGGACAATTATGCTGCAGTTTGTATTGAAAATGCAAGGAAGGATGCTTTGCAGTGACCATTTCTCTCTTGTAACAGGCCTTCATTTTAAATAGGTAGTTATAGTCTTGGCTGCACCTCCCTTTTTTTTTCACTTGGAGCCTTAATAGCTTTAAATTCAACTTCCAGCTCTGCTGCCTTTTTCCTTTGGCTGACTCCTCGGCTCTGCTGCCTTTCATGCTGCTAACGAGGCAGATAAGGGTTAGAAGACGGGCTTCACTTCCATCCCTGCTTTCTGATTCTCTTCACTTCCCAACCCTCACGATTCCTTTCTCTGTTAATAGCTTGTTCTGTTTTAAATGCGTGTCTATGCAAGGACTTCCTGAATTCCCAGTAAGGCCTAGAAAGAGGGTTGGCCAAGACAGCTAGTCAATAATCTTAAACATAGTTATTTTCTGTTTTAAGGAAATCACTGAAAAGAACACCGTTTCGCACGTCTTAGCATGTTCTTTGCATTGTGTTCTCTGAAGTGTCAACATGAGCAAATTATTAAAGCTACATGGAAATAACAGGCAATATTTGTGGTAGTTCTCATGGGAAAACTGTATTCACTAAATGGCCCAAGTGTATCGTGGAGCTTCCAACTTGGGAATTTAGCAAATGTCCAGATGCTGCTATTAGATATCAGGTTATACTGAAGTAGTTTTATCATCTGGAGAATATTAACAGGTGTGAGGTTACGGAGAACTATCCAACTAAGCAGGGAGTGAATGCATAGTCTTGCATTGTAAATACATCAATAAAAGGGATTGATCTACATGCAAAACATTGGTTGCTGTGAGAAAGGGAAGAGTTCCTAGATTTGTTAGGACTGACTATCATTGGAAGATAATGAGGACTTGGACATCTTATCCCATGTGTTTAGACATCCTGTTAAGCTGTGAGAGCAGCAGCAATTTTTTCTCATTGATAAATCTTCACTTTTCATATTGGGTCATGTTTTTTATTTGGAAGAAAAACATGCAGTTGCTAGCTTTTGTAGTAGAGATGTTTCTGGGTGCTATTTTGTATATTTTATTAGGTGCATTAGGCTCTGACTATAATTCATGGTGATGGTTTGTCAGGGCACCTATTGGGTTGGTATGAGTGTAGCTCTGGGAGCGTAGTTCTCATTTTTGAATGAGATGTCATTGTTTTAAGCTGTAGAGCACCTCGTACTGTTTAGTGGAATTTGTAGGCATGCCCTCATCAATAGGGTTGAATGCCAACCTTATTTAAAATAAATGGGAACTTTCCCATAGCCTTCACTGGGTCCAGAATATGGAGCAGAGTCAAAAAATGTGGCCATCATAAAGAGGAGGACTCCTAAGATCATAATACTTTCATCGCTTCGATCAACAGAGAGTCGGTGTTCAGGTTGATTTCTAGACCACCAGGGAGCATGTAATATCACAGGTGTCAAGGCAAGATTTATTAGTTTCTTTATAGAAAGCCCATGTAGTTGATAAGGTGATGGTTAATCACAGACTTTCGCACAACAGTGCTGTCCCAGTGCACATAAGACACAGGGCGGGAAAAGTCTCATTGTATTATTGTAGACAGCACTGGAATATTTCTGTGCGTTTCATCAAGGAGCACTGCTGCCAGCAGCTTAAAATTTCCGTTTCAGTGCAGGTTGAGGGGGCCACAATAAAATCAGAAAAACATGTCAGTCTGCTTTTACCATTTACAGTCCTGTTTCAAGGTAGATAAAACAATAATAAATGAAGATGAAGGCTCTTCTTTGTCCTGAGTTTCAACAAGCAAAAGCAAATATTTGGGCAGGGATTTGGGCTCCTGTTTTTTCACCCTGCATCCTTGACGTATTTGGAGCGATGCGTTCTGATATGAACTTCTTCCAAATACCATCGGCGCACAGTGCGCTCGCGTGCTGTTTTGAATAGATCTGCATATAGGTTGTAAGCAAAGTGAACACCATGCAATCACTTCTACACTTAGCTGGCATTTGGGGCAGCCTCCATTTTTTTTGATGACCCC